TTACCAAAAGGAATGCTTCTTTTAACTGAGAAATCAAATGGTCGTACGCATGGTGAACTGGGCTGACAGCTCACTCAAGACACTGTGAGGGAGACCTGCCTCACGCACTATACTTTCACACCAATTACAGCAAATATTCCCTCAGGCCCGTAACATCATTATTGGCATTCAAATCTCTTACAAGTTACTAAATAAATTACGGTTTTCCTCGGCCAGCTTCGTGATGTGCCTGCAGCTGAGCTGTGAGGACTTCTCATTATTTAGTTCTGAGAGGAGAATAAAAGGCTCCACCTTTGTCATCCAGAGCACTGAAAATGTTCACGTGTACAGTAGTCTGCAGTGATGATTATACACCACCACTATTGTCTAAAAGGGGTTCTAATATAGGACTTCTCCATAATTTTGTGGTGAAAATGTATTGAAAAATACTATTGTGGGCAATAAGAACAAAAAAAAAATCATTCCCAGAAGTATATTTGTAAGGGTTGTGTCACGAACCCTCGTGACAGGCACGGTGGACAGGAAGTTGAGGACTGGACTCAGGTGCAAGGATGGACTTAGTTGTATATTTATTATGCCGACTGAACAGCAGGAGGCATGCAGAAAGAAATACAAACAAAAGAGGGAATGAGGTCCCTTAGAGGATACTATTGGTAATACAAACTGTTGTCTAAGGCGATAGTAACAATGTATCACAAAATGGAAAACAAATTGAGGTTCCCGGGATTAAGTTCTGTGATAAACAATACAGCACTAAGTTTTAAGTTATGCAAGTACAGACGAAAAGCGGGGAAATACGTCTGTACAAAACTTGGGACGTAACATAACCATGTGGCTACGAGACTTCGCAATGAATAAGTGCGCAGCTCAGACTTATAAAGGGAAACATTACCACACAGTGGAAATAGGAAACAGATGCATGCAATGATTGCAGGAGTGAAGAATGCAGTCCGGGTCTTGATAGGCCAGTGAGCTGGAGGGCTGGAGGCCTGGTCCTACAATATTGAGGAAAAATATGGGGAATAAACAAAAATACTGAAAATAACCATTTTTTTAACAATTGAAAGGCGTCACTTTTTTTTTGACTCTTGCATAGCCTCTATACGTTTGAAGGCTCATTCCATGGTTATTGATGCAAAAAAAATTGTTTAAACTGGTTTGAGGCAACATTATTCTGCAGAATTACCTCTGATGGTCAGTTGTACCAGTATATAAGGAGACATGACCTTTGAGCAGTGTCACAGAGTTAAACACGATGGCACGACAGAAGGAGGTCTCCGAGATTGTGCATGACCGCTTTGTGGCCTTACATGATGCTGAGGATGTTAAATGCTGCCATGGCACTGTAGGAAACACCATCAAGTGTTTCAAAGAGACTGGTTCGCTGAAAACTACTAGCAATAGAGGCACAAAACGGAAGTTAAGTGCCTCTGATATTTGTTATCTGTGTATGACAAGTAAAAAAATAATAATAATAATCGGCGGTTGGCAGCACAACAACTCTGTGATGATATTAATAGTGCAAGAGGAGTAGAGATGAAAGTATCAAGACCTACTATTTTCAGACGCCTGTGAAAATTGTCTGATTGGTTGTGTTGCTGCCAAGAGCTGGCAACATCAAAAAGAAGACTTAAGTTTGCCAATAAATTCTGTGACAGTCAATTCCAATAAAATACGTTAGTTATAGAAAGTGAAAAGAGCCTATATCCAGGCCCCTTTTCTTCAAGTTCAAATAGTTGGAATTCTAATGTTTACTCCTTGCACTAAAACATGAATATTGTAATTACTGGGTACACATAAGTAAAAACGGGCCGATAAGGAGAGATGTAGATTTGCGCTTGCAAAGGAAAGAGATTTCGGACCTCTGCAGTTTTTTATGGAGTGGCTGAAGTCAGAATTGGCTACCTAGCTTGCATAATTTGGCAGGCTACAGACTATGAGAGGTTGGAATCTCTGGTTTTCTCTGTCACATATTAGTTGGATGAAGACTGAGCTGGTTAAGAAATAAGAAATTATTAATCATCTACAAATGATGGTAGCAAAAAAGCTAGCTAATATCAAAGAATTTCAGGAAATACAGAAGTCACGTCAGCCAATGTTGCTAGCTCCTCGGACTTATCAGTGCCTTACGGCCTTCTTTGCTAGGGGCCCCACAAGATTCTTAGCCTGACTCTGCCAGCCTACGTACTTCCACTCAATTTCATTTCGCTTCACCACTCCGTCTGATCACAATGAGCTCAGCCTCGTTTACCTCGGCAGAAAAAACGCCAGATCAACCAACGAACAGAAGGCGCGGCCGAGAGCCATGATGTAGCCGCTGTGCCGAGTTTGAAATTGTAGTCTCTGAAATCAACAATGGCCACGGACATAGATATACAGGAGGCCATTCGCTCTGTCATGGAGAAAATCACCGGTATCAGCGACTTAAAGCCACAACAAGATGAATGTTTGGTTAGTTTTTTGAATGGAAATGATGTTGTAGCGCTGCTCCCTACAGGTTTCGGGAAAAGTTGTCATATCTACTTAATATTCATCATGAAACATATGAAATGGGCACCCTGTTCATCTCTGTGATAGACCGCGGAACCACCTCAGCTAGCTTGTAGCTTCTAGTGTTACATTGCTTGCGAATTTCACACTATTTAAGTTAGCAGCAAACTTTTTAAAAGCCGTGTTTTTGTTCATGTCACAAGACCTATTCGCTGTCTCGGTGTAATGTTGTCATTATCCATGAATGAAATGGTTGTCTGAGACAGCCAAATGCTTTGAGCCAAACTGTGTTTCTATAAAGTTAGAAAGCGAGCTCCGTATGATGTTAGCCTAAGTATGGTGAACGGTTCAGTTTTCCTGTCAACCCGGATTTCGTCCTAATGTAAACAAGCATGAAATACTCACATCCCCCTCCACGGATATGTTTTTTTTAAAGTAGGTCTATATATATGAAGGTTGATTTGAGAGATTATTGATGATGATAATGACATAATGATAATATTTGAAAGATTAGATTGTGATCAGTCAGTTTTTTGAATTTTGCAAAATTAAGTATTTTGTGGAATTGCTCCAAGAGACTTGTCTCCTAAATTACTTTTATGAAAAATTGGTAAAAAATGAAAAATTTTCAAAAAGACCAAAATATCAAAAGGCACCAGTTCACCACTAGACTAATATGCATGTGAAGTTTCGTGAAGATATCCTGAATGGTTTTTGAGATCTGCTCCGAAACGAATGCAACCCTGAATTTTCAGCCAAATTCCAACGTTTTTTCCCCAAAAAACAAAAATTTTTTTTTTTTCAAAAATACCAAACCATCAAAAGGCACCAGTTCACCACTAGACTGATATGCATGTGAAGTTTCATGAAGAAATCTTTAACGGTTTTCGAGTTCTGCTCCGGAAACGAACGCAACCCTGAATTTTCAACCAAATTCCAACTATGGGTAACACTGCACTGAAATTCAATGTAGCATTGCATCCTAAACATGAAACCATCAAAAGGCACCAGTTCACTACTAGACTGCAGTACATGTGAAGTTTCATGAAGATATCTTGAACGGTTTTGAAGATATCTTGTCTGCTCTGGAAATGAACGATACCCTGTATTTTCAAACAAATTCCGTTTTTCCCCAAAAACGCAAAAATGAAAAATTTTCAAAAATACCAAAATATCAAAAGGCACCAGTTCACCACTAGACTAATATGCATGTGAAGTTTCGTGAAGATATCTTGAATGGTTTTTGAGATCTGCTCCGGAAACGAATGCAACCCTGAATTTTCAACCAAATTCCAACGTTTTTCCCCAAAAACGCCAAAAAAATTTTTTTTCAAAAAGACCATACCATCAAAAGGCACCAGTTCACCACTAGACTGATATGCATGTGAAGTTTCATGAAGAAATCTTTAACGGTTTTCGAGTTGTGGTCCGGAAACGAAGCGTGACGGACGGACGGACGGACGGACGGACGGACAGCACCCATTCCTATATCCCCCTTCCACTTCGTGGCGGGGGATAATAATGCGTTATCTCACCGATTCTGCCATTGGTTTCGGGTCTCTTATGTTTTTTTTTTATAGCTGCAGTATCGGCAGGAAAAACAATACCTCAACAGTTTGTTTCTTGTAACGAGAACAGAAACAGCACCTTTGGTTCTTTTAAGTGAATGCGTGAAGGCTAAAATGAGGTAGATGGGCATATGTATAAGTACAGTATTAACTTTAATGTTCTGATCAGTTTGTTTTCGCTGCATTCCTGGAATGAAGGACTGTGTTTACAGCGGAAGTACAAGGCGGCTGAGCCGGCGCATAACATACGTCATTGCCAAACATTGGTGATTAGTTTACGGGTACACCAATGATTTTAAACTTCAGACAAGCACCCACCCACCAGGAAGTAAACACTTGTCAATCACAACTGGCCAGACTGTGTACAAAGCAAAGTGAAGTAGCAGAGTCTGGTATTACCAGGCTAAAAGATTCTAGGAGTGCCACTGCTTTTAAGTTGAGCAAGAATATCTCAGTCGGAAAGAAACATCTGGTGACACAAAAGTTATGACTTAGACTGCTTGAAGTCCAGCCCTTAATCTGATTGAGCAAATGTGTTGTAACAATGACAGAATCTCTTTGGAGTGAACTTCAAATCATATGGAATGGTTTAGCAAGTAGGTGTCACAGTCTGCTCTGCTGCTGCTGTCTTTCCCTCTGCTTGGCCACGCCCCTTCCACTACAATTGTTCTCAGATGAGTGTCATTACCCAGCCAGCATATAAGCAGCTCTGTTTCACTAACTCATTGCCAGATTGTCGTTGCAGCATGCACTACTCTCCAGCCTTTCCCTCCGGCCTGACTTCCTGGAATCGACTCTGCCTGCCTCTGATGACGTCTCTCGTTCCTGCCCCGGTAAACCTGATAGCCTTCTGCCTCTGACTCTGAGTTCTGCCTGTGTGCTTCCCGGTTCCTGTCTGCCGTCTCTGCCTGCATGGATACCATCCAAGCCTTAAGCCAGCCTGCCCCAGTGGCCCAGTGGTAACTGTCCCGCCTGCTGTGTGGGAGACCCGCGTTCGAATCCCGCCATCAGCACCTGCTAACTCGAGTTCCCGGAAAAGCTCCATCTAAGATCCACGAGTTCCTGATTCTGATCTGCACTATGCTACCCTGCTCTGCATTCTGTTTACCCCTGCTCTGAGATGATTAAAAGACAGTAAAACCTCTCTTTTGTTGATTGTGTTGCATTTGGGTCCTGCCACTCCCCTTGTCAGTACAATCTGGCCAGTCATGGACCCAGCACACAATCCCACTCCCCTGAGCTGACTAGAGAGGATTGAAGCCGTCCTTCAACACCACGAGGCAATGATGTCATCAGCCGCCTCGGACACCAGGCAATCCTTCGCTGCATTGGCCGGCCAACTGAAGCAGCTGACATCCTGGTGGCTCACCCTGCAGCCTCTCCTGCATCAGTATCAGCTCCTGATTCCATGCTACCCATTGGGGCCCCGGAACCTCGAGTGGGAACCCCTGAGCGCTACGGCGGAGACCCAGAGACTTGTAGCCCCTTCCTGACAAACTGTTCCCTGCTGTTCTCCCCCTAGCCCTGTACCTTCGCTTCGGAGCAGGCGAAGGTGACCTTTGCGATCAACCACCTGACAGGCCAGGCTCGTCTGTGGGGCACTGCTGAGTGGAAGAGACAGTCTCCTGCCTGCATCTCCTTCCAGTCCTTTGCCGAGGAGCTTCGCAAGGTCTTCGGTTTGGGGGTCTCCAGCTTCGAGGCTGCTCAAGGGCTACTGAGCCTGACACAAGGGAGCAGAACTGTTGCAGACTACTCCATTGATTTCCGCACCAGAGCCAGCCGGGGCGGATGGAACCCCGCAGCCAAGGTGGACGCCTTCCTCCACGGTCTGGCTGACTACCTCAAAGATGAGATGCTCTCATACGAGGTTCCCTCCACACTGGACGGAATCATCGAGCTAGCCATAAGAATTGACCTCCGTATCCAGGCCCGTGGGAGAGATGTCAGGGGGCTCTCCATTGCCAGACGCCAGCCCGGTCCAGAGCAGGTCCCACCAAATCGTCCACCTCGCCTATTCCGCAGATGGAGGAGTCTGAACCTGTGCAGCTGGGCCGCACCTCTCTCACCCCAGAAGAACGGGAGCGTCGACGACGCCTGAACCTGTGCCTGTACTGTGGGAAGGAGGGTCACTTTGTTTCAGCCTGTCCGGTAAAAGACAAGGCTCATCTGTAACCAGGGAGATACGGGTGAGCTCGACAACACTACCTCCCTACAACGACAGATCGCATCTCCAAGCCCGGCTCCTCCTTACTGACCGTCCCCTCACCTTGGCTGCCCTGGTGGACTCTGGTGCTGATGCTAGCCTCATGAACGAGGAGTTGGCCCAGCAGTTGGGGCTCGGTCGGGTTCCTCTGCCTCGTCCGGTCCTCGCCCGGGCTCTAGACGACCACCAACTGGGTACGGTTCCCATGCTCCTGTCTGGCAATCATCACGAGACCATTCAGTTCCACATCCTGAACTCTCCTGGTCTGCCACTCATCCTGGGCTATCCTTAGCTTTGTCGACATAACCCCCACATCGACTGGGAGACTGGTTCCATCCACTAGTGGGGAACATCCTGCCACCTCCCCTGCCTTAAGCATGCCTCTTCGCCATTCCACTGTCCCACCACCAGTCCTTTACCTGATGTCTCCGGGGTGCCTCCTGAATACCATGACCTCCGGCAAGTTTTCAGCAAGGCTAAGGCCACCTCTCTGCCCCCGCATTGGCCCTACGACTGTGCCATAGACCTCCTGCCTGGCACCTTGGCTCATAGATGCCATCTGTACTCTCTGTCGATCCCCGAAAGGAAAGCCATGGACACTTGCATCAATGACTCCCTAGCTGCAGGTATCATCCGCCCCACTCATCTCCTGCCGGGGCGGGCCTCTTCTTCGTAGAGAAGACGGATAAGACCTTGAGACCCTGCATAGATTATCGGGGATTGAACTAAATCACAGTGAAGAACCGCTATCCCCTGGCACTGATCTCTTCTGCCTTCGAATTGCTTCAGGGGGCCAAAATCTTCACCAAGCTCAATCTCCGTAATGCCTATCACCTGGTCCGCATCAGAGAGGGGGACGAATGGAAGACAGCATTCAACACCCCTGCAGGGTACTACAAATTCTTGGTCATGCCCTTCGGTCTCACCAATGCTCCTGCTGCCTTTTAAGCCCTGGTTAATGATGTACTCCAAGACATGCTCAACCGCTTTGTCTTCGTTTACCTGGACAACATCCTCATCTTCTCTAAGACCAGGAAAGAGCGCGTCCATCATGTCCAGTCTGTGCTCCAGTGCCTCCCTGTTTGCCAAGGCAGAGAAATGCAAATTCCATGCCTCATCTGTCTTGTTCTTGGGATACATGATGGCTACGGAGAGCATCCAGGTGGACCCAGTGAAGGTCTCTGCAGTCACCTCCTGGCCTGTTCCACACTCTTGCGAACAACTACAGTGCTTCCTGGGGTTTGCCAATTTCTATTATCGCTTCATCCTCAACTACAGCTCGGTAGCCGCACCTCTTGCTGCCCTCACCAGCTCCAAGGTGCCCTTCCAGTAGTCCCTTGCTGCCGATGAGGCCTTCAAGACCCTGAAGACCAGATTCACCTCGGTGCCCATCCTCCAGATGCCAGACCCTGATCGCCAGTTTGTGGTGGAGGTGGACACCTTGGACGGGGGGTAGGGGCTGTCCTGTCCCAGAGATCTGCCTCTGACCAAAAGCTTCACCCCTGCGCCTTCTTCTCTCGGCACCTGTCTTCTGCCGAGAGGAACTATGACATCAGGAACAGGGAGCTGTTGGCGGTGAAGCTGGCTCTAGAAGAATGGCGGCATTGATTAGAGGGCACCAAGGAACCCTTCCAAGTGTGGACCGACCACAAGAACCTTGAGCACATCCGCACTGCCAAGAGGCTGAACTCCCGCCAGGCCCGCTGGTCCCTCTTCTTCACCCGTTTCAACTTCACTCTCTCCTACCGCCCGGAGTCCCGCAATGACAAGCCTGATGCCCTGTCCCAGCATTGCCGTGAAAAAGTATTTGTCCCCTTCTTGATTTCTTTTTTTTTTGCATATTGGTCACGCTTAAATATTTCAGATCATCAAACAAATTTTAATATTAGACAAAGACAACCTGAGTAAACGCAAAATGCAGTTTTTAAATGATGAGTTCATTTAATAAGGGAAAAAAGCTATCCAAACCTACCTGGCCCTATGTGAAATAGTAATTGCCCCCTAAATCCTAATAGCTGGTTGTGCCACCCTCGGTGACAACAACTGCAATCAAACATTTGCAATAACTGGCAATGAGTCTTTCACATCACTGTGGAAGAATTTTAGCCCACTCTTCTTTGCAGAATTACTTTAATTCAGCCACATTGGAGGGGTTTGGAGCATGAACGGCCTGTTTAAGGTCATGCCACTGCATCTGAATAGGATTTAAGCCCGGACTTTAACAAGGCTACTCCAAAATCTTCATTTTGTTTTTTTTTAAGCCATTCAGAGGTGGACTAGCTGGTGTGTTTCAGATCATTGCCCTGCTGCATAACCCAAGTGCGCTTGAGCTCGAGATCACAATCTGAGGGTTGGACATTCCCTTCAGGATTTTCCGGCAGAGAGGAGAATTCATAGTTCCATCAATTATGACAAGTCCTCCAGGTCCTGAAGCAGCAAAGCAGCCCCAAACATCTCACTACCACCACGTTTCACTTTTGGTATGATGTTCTTTTTATGAAATGCTGTGTTAGTTTTACGCCTGATGTAATGGGACGCACACCTTCCAAAAAGTTCAACTTATGTCTCGTCAGTCCACAGAATATTTTCCCAAAAGTCTTGGGGATCATCTTCTTCCACCTTCTGAGGAGAGCAGTCGCACCCTATCTCTGCTCCTGCCTGCGTCTTCTTTCTTTGTCCTGTATTGTCCTGTTACCCCCTCTTTTTTCTTTTTTTGGACCCTCCGTCTGCTTCTGAGGCTCTCAAGTAAAGATGGAATTAATTAGCTGGTCCCTGAATGCGATTGACAGAACTTTTTCACCAAGAACCTTGCTAACCGCGCTGCCCGGACTCGACTTTTGCTCCTGGCTACATTCGGGACGCGTGGTCGAGATGGCAAGTTCTTTGTCTGGCAGCACTATCCCTTGAAGACGTGGAGGATGTTTACCTATTTGGATTTATGGTGACGGGATTTCTCCTAATTGGCATGGGAGTTGCTCTGATCTACTGCAAAGTGTGCGAGCTGGGAGCAAGGAAAATGCCCAATGCACTGCCTAGCACCAAAATTATTATGGAGCGCCTCAGTGGAGTAACGAGCGAACGGGCGATGGATTTACATCGGAGGGCATCAGAGAATGGAGAGCTGCTCAAAAAGACTCTGGGATCATCTGAGGAAATGCACAGAAAGATGGACGCTGTTTTGAGTCAGTGTGGGGAGTTTGTGCGTTTGACTGTGAATTTGGGCAAGAGACAGGATGAGATGATGGGAGAACTTGTGGCCCTGAAGCGCGAAGTACAAAATTTACAAAATGGATAGCGGATCAATCGAAATTGCTTGTTCCACCCGAAATTGAATAGAATTCGGCACCCCCCCAACTCCGCGTCTCCCCTCTGTCTGCCTCAGCCTCACACGGACCGGTCCTCTTCAAAAACATCCTTATTCCTCAAGGACAGAACATTCTGCCCCTGATAAGAACTTCTGGACTCTGCATTCCCCCCCCCCTGCCACAGGCTGCCTCCCATTTTTCATTCTTCATTAACCCCTTCTTCCCCCACCTCCCATCCCCCCCATTCCCATTAAAAAATTCCTACGCGTTTCCAGCATGTTGTGTTATAAACCTGATGTGTATTATGTCTGATGTTACCAATATGTGTTATAAATGTTTTTGTGTTAACTGCAACCTTAATTTTCGAAGAAGAAAGTGGAGTTGGCGGCGCGACGCACGTTGCAGCGGCCCGGAGCACTTTCTCTCCAAATGTAAATCTCGTTGTTACTCTGTAACAATGACAATAAAGTCATCTGAATCTGAATCTGAATCTGAAGATGTATTT